TATTGTAAATTTCATTCCACATTTTAAAAAATCCAAAGATTTTAAAGTATTCTCTCGGTTCGGTAAATTGTGTGCGTTGTTCCTTTGTCCTTGAGTCCAGTGTGAAGCTCTCTTTCTCTCTCACTCTCTATTTAAATAAATATATGTTAGTGTTACTGTTAGGTTTATAATATATAAACATATATATATACATTTATGGAGGCTACAGTTGAAAAGGGGCAATAGTTGCTGTTTTGCTCTTTTGTTGTTGACCATCTTGACCTATTGCTTGGTCTGTACCTCCATGGTGTCTAGTAATACTACATGTATACATGACGTGTATTTTATTGAAAAGGGACGTTTTCTCTCACTCTCACTGGTGACACATTTTAAGAAGTGTCACACCCAAGGAAAAAATGGTGTAGTCTACATGCCACGTGACTCAGTGAAAGAAATAGAAAGTCTGTTGACCACAATTTCATTATGCGAATTCTTTCTTTACTTTCCCTCCCCGTAGTCTTCATATTTTTATATGTTTGTGTACCACTGTAAAGCATGGGGTTTTTTTTACAAATGGGATTCCCTCACTTGATATGGGAAAAATCCGTTTTCAATGAAAGATCACACGCTTTTTCACAAAATGTGTAGGTCAACTCAGATTTTACAAACTTCAATACGTTTGCAAAGAAAAATTAAGTTTATGTTAGCTTTTTTATCTGTCAGAATGTGTGCGAGTCATTGCCATTTCTTGTTTGTATTTTGCCTGTGTGGATATTTCTATGACAAATTGCTATCTATATATTCTTAAACAATAAACGAAAATCTTTTTGCATGAAGCAAGTTGTATTTGTGTTTCTTAATCAAATAAATGCTTTGCCATCGGTACATGTAATTGTAATGGGTTAACCCACCAAACGACCAGTGACACATTACTCAAACTCAATTGAGAGGATAACTACGTACCTATCTCCTCTCTCCAAAATAATGGAATATTCATAAAAATGTCAATGAAAAAATGGTGAAATGGTATAGGCTTAATGCCCCTATTAAGAGGTGGGATCTATGAGTTTAACCGACGTCCCTCTCAGAAAGGAAAACGCCAAATGAGAAATATGTGTAAAGTGTTTTTCCCAAAGACACAATGTCGGAAGGAAGGGAACTTCAACTGAGGCTCCAACCCCTGAACCCACAATCTCCTCATGATTACGGGTCCGGTAGCGTAACCACAAGGCTACCACTGATGTCACAAATGTCATTGATATTGATATCCTACTCTCAGCAACTGAAAAGCGTCCTGTTCTTTAGGACTAAATTCTTGTGTATAAATGCAGAGTTTGTTCTGCAAATGCTTAGAATGAGGTGTGCCAGCATTATTAACCCCAACTTTTAACAACACTGCGTCGTAAGGGAAAACGACGAATGGTCCTGCGCAGGTAGCGAGGCAAATTTTTCAGGAGAGGCAAAAACTTGTTTCACTTTTTAACTCTTCTATTTTCCGCTCTTTTAAGCTGTAACTCACCAGATATCTGATTGAGATGTTCCTAAAGCAGTTTCTAAAGTTTGAATGGTTTAGGTTAAAAAGCAGCAAAGTTATTCGACATTCGTCGTTCTCCCTTACACTGCGCACCCGTAGGTGAGCCTTGTGATGTAAGCGAAAACGACGAATGGTACGGTTCGTCGTTCTCCCTTACAATTGTGAACGTTTATGGGCGTAGGCGATCGTCAGTTGTGACGCATTATTGACAGTAATGACTGTGTACTGGCTACTACAAATAAAAATAAGACGCATACAAACTAGCTATTATACGTATAAAGTTAGGTGTTTGTTATATCCCAACTGTAACTCGGTAAACGTCCTTCTTTTCCCTTCCTCGCTTGGTTAAACTACACAGTCAGGGTACAAAATCAGATGTGCACACATTTTCAGCAGCTTGATTTAAAACTGTCTCATTTGGAACCAAAGTTTGGTTTCCATGATATCTCTTCACTGTATTCTCTTCAGAAGCAAGTTTTACTTTAATTTTCGCTAATTGCAAATTTTTCCCTGCACGACCAAAGGGATCAACAATGTTACAGTGTCAATAATACGATCAGATCATTGCAAAGTCAAACTTTCAAGTAAGAAATATAACAATCTGACAAGACTGTATCACACACGCTTTCGGGAGAGGTAATGGGACGCTTTGTATTTAATAAAGGATTCAGTTGATCGAATTGGAAAACATACCACAAAGTAGAGATCGACTAGAATGGTTTGAATCTGCAAGACATTATTATACTCGATCGTAACGTCCATCGAGACATAAAAAATCGTAAAGCAAGACTAAGTGTCGCCACAATACCTCCACTTTTTAAGTTGGACAAAGAAATTTACTCTCATAACGCAGTGTCATTAATTGCTTGTTAACTCTATAATGATGTCGACCAGTGACACGTGTTGGACAAATTGCGGCACTATAACCATCGTTGTGATTTGGGATGTCAAATGACTGGACAGCAAACTAACATGACGTTAGTCTGTGAACATCTGGCGGACACTAATATGCAGTGCTAATAAATTTCTCCCTAAATACTTTTTTGACCGTCCCATCCCCACCCCTTTCCCCCTGTCCCTCTCCCCGCCTGCTCTTGTCAATTCACACAATCAGGAAAGACCTAATACGTGAAGACAGACAGAAAGACACTAAGAGATACATTCTTATAAACCATCGACGGTACTCCGGGGGAAGGGGTGGTGGTGTGTTTGTTTGCTAAAAAAGCCTAGTATGTTTGTACTGACGCAACAGTGACCACTTGTCATTCGTCGCCCATGCCGAATTTGCCCAACGGCAGAGACCAGGGGACAACGCCGAACGAGCAGTGATCCTTGACCGATGGACCATTCGTCGTTCTCCCTGACACTGAGCTCTGGCTCGGAGCTCGCCAGTGTAAGGGAAAACGACGAACTCTCAATTATGCAACAACGGATTAGGATATGACAAACATTTTTACACCATCAGATGCAGAATTAAATACTCTATGAAATATGTAAAAATATAAAAAATTTTAAAATTTGACCATTCGTCGTTTTCCCTTACGACGGCAGAACAGGACACAATGGGGGGAAAAACTATGGAGGGAAACTTTATCTTTCATTTTTTATGATTATTATGGATCATAAAACAGAATTTATGGTCACTGCGAGGATAAAAGTACACTTAATAAAAAATCCAAAGCTACAAACTTGACAGTGACACGGACAATGAAAATAAGATAATTATATCGTCATTGCAGTTCGCTATCCGCACATGGAACAAAATTTGGAAACTCAGGTCTTAAGGCATTTGAAATTAGCACAATCTTAAAAATCAGCTCTCATAATTTGCATCAATAATTGATTACAACTTTAAATATAAATTGTAAAAATCAAGAGGCTAAAATATGTATCACACTAATAAAAATGTTTTTTCATATTTCCGGGAAGCCAAAAATGTCTCTGAATGTCCGAGGGTCTATTAGGGTAATAAGAGTTGTAAAGCACATGGATATGGGCTTTAAAATGCAATTATATCATATGATGGTGATATTGATGATGGCACTCTCCATGAAGGAAATGATTTTCATAATTCCAGATGTACTTTTGTAACATTACACGTCCTTGTATTTGCATGGTGATGTGTGTATATATAACATGTATGAAGTGTGTCCCTGTACTAAGGCTTTGTGAGGGGCGGGACTTTCAAATTAACAATTGTTTCCTAAAGAACAGGTAAGAGGGTGGAGAGTCTTGAACCCCCCCCCCCCCCCCCGAACAACCCGTTCCAAAAGTAGCATAGCCCCTCATGGTATAAAGTGTGTACAAAAAGACAAGTGCTAAGTCAGAAGCTTTGTTTGCGAGAGATATTCTAATTCTAGTACTAGTAGCTCTATGATGTTGCTAAGATGTATCCCACGCAGGCGGGAGCAGTGGGATATTGTAGACGGAGCAACCTCTCACAGAGTTTTTATGACACAATTTAGATCATTTAGGAGGACCTACCTGTCAGGCTGAGAGTGACACAACATTCCAGCAGAAAGACTGATACTCGTTAAAAATAAAAAGCACCTAACCGTAACACTTCAGCTGCTGGTTCAAAGGGTTTTTGTTTTAGTAAAAGCGCCAGAAGATTAGAGGTGTTACAAGAGAATAACAAACATAAAAAAGAAGAAGGGAAGATAAAGACGATAGATGTTTGATGGGAAAAAAGAAGCAAACCACACCAGAGCACCCGCCAACCACCCACATTCAAAGGGTTTAAAGTTCTGGTTTAACTCAAAAGAAAAGAACACATGTCAGATGTTAATATCTGCGTGGAGGAAAGAGAAATTGACTGTGATTGTTTAGGTTGTATACCTCCAATGACATGACTCAGCAATAAGTCATTTTGGAGGCCGCTTACAAGGGACGAGAAGGGAGGAGGGGGGAGAGAGAGAGAATCAGTCCAGAAACAGATACTGCAGTGAGTCTGCTTTCTTAAAACTAAAATGGCAAGGACCAAAGTTGCGTGTCTGTTCAGTCTGAGGTGGTAAAGAAAAAAATGGTGCCAAAGCAAAACCAAGGCTATCCATCACTTATAAAGAATTCCTTCACTTTAAAACAAATTTATATAAATAAGTGGACAGCTCTGTACCAAATTACCTGCTACACATCATTGCTCGAAAGTGGGAAAGGACAGTGTGAGGACAAGACAGAGAAAGGTGTCGCCAATTGGCACACGAGACACGCAAATATAAAAACAGACCACCAATCTCCCAGACCTGTAAATCCCGACACCAACAGAGGGGACCTTCTGATGGTGTGAACGTCTGACCACTCCGTTCATTTAAGTTTTAGTAAAGAGAAGCACATTGACACTTAACACTCGTTTTTGACACTTGAACACTCGTTTCGTGCAGGGAAAAGCCAGAATGACAGACAGAAAGGGAGAGAAAAGAAGTAAACAAAAAAAACAACAATTGTGGACATGAAGACATTTGTCACAATTCACAAGACCAATACTTTATATTATGTACATATCTCTTTATTATACATTCATATTGTCTGGAAAGTAAAGATCTGGTCAGGGAAAGTATTATTATACACGTAAATCCCAACTCAAAATGATTTGAGTAACAAGGAAATGGACCAATGCCACAACTGATAACATCAGTTACAATGGAGTCACGGTGTGTGTGACCCGGTCGAGACTGCTACTTTCATTACAAAACAATCCATCAAGTTTCTTTACACTTCAGTAGACCAAATAAAAACATTCTTAGACTTCTTCCATCATTTGTTAAATACTCTTTTCTCATAAATTGAAAATCTCTATACAGTACAGATAAACATCTTCAGTTCGTTCTTTTTTTCTTGAACTTTTTCCTCACTCCGCTTGCCTCCTCCGTGTCATCTTCATCCTGTCCTCGCTTCTTCTTCCTTGCTGCCATCTTCCTGTCTTCTGCATCTTTCATCTCCTGAGGAACAAAATTTTTTTTAAAATGACAACAATCCAATCACTTACAAACAGCTCTAGTGCAATATGAATTGAAACCCCCAAATGTATCTCACTAAGAATAAGAGATCAGCTTTTTATCAAGCAAATTGTAGTTTTTAGTACAATGACAGCTACTTTTCACTCTGGAAAGATTAAAGACAGAAACACTGAAAAGATTTATGATAATCAGACCACACAAGAGCGTCAACCAACCACTCCACTTTTCTCCTGAGGGAGCCAAAGACCTGTGCACCCCTAATTTCTCTTACCAAAGACTAGATCCCAATATATGGTGACCTTTCAATACCAGTATCAAGTCTGGCAACGGCTATAAAGCCTATCTTTTCCATGCACAAAATGCACTACACCAAAATTACAGCAAATTGTACTTACACAACATTATATTCTAATCGGGTTTACGCTTCTACATCACACCGAACACTTAAAAATGCACACAAATGCAATTCTCTTTTATTTTTAGTTTGATCAGTTGTATCATGCAAATAGTGCAATAGTACAAATAATTAAGTATGCTTTATATTTATATGGCAAAGGTTTAATACCCCTTTAAAACAAGGCCATCTAAGATGAGGGACCTGGAATTTAATATTCATGTCCAACATGACCCAGCCAGGTGGGCGGAATGCCGGGAAAACTCTTCCAACAACCTAACAGTATGAATGTCCAGTTAAGGATTCAAACTGCAGTAATCTCCATCATAGCTCAGCATATCACAAACTCAATTAATGGAATCCTAGGCACACTATCAGTCATTGCATTAATCCCAAATTCATGATTACTTCTGAGAAATTCCTATACAATACGCAAACAGCCCAATATGTGTAGATGAAAACTTACGATGCGTGTGAACCTCTGAGCCTCGCTGACTCGCTCCACCAGCTGCATGACCTCAGCCTCCTCCGTGGTGTAGAGCGGCAACTGACGGCCCAACAGCTCCTCAATCCTCTTGTACAGCTCCACCTCGTACCTGCAACCAAGGGGGGACAGACAGTTCGCTTGTTTTTAGAAGAGTGAGGTTTGAGTAGTAAGAAACGTATCAACGGAATAACAGTCATTTAGTGCATGGAAAAAGTAAAATAGATGGACAGAAACAACAAAGGGAAAGAATAAAAAGTAGTTCCTATCAGCGGCATCCTCTAATTATCTGCATTTGTGGAAGAACATGGTGACAAATTATGTAGTCCACTATAGTAAAGTAAGATGATGAATTCATACAGACACCTACTGAATATGAGGAAAGCAATACTATGTATGTAAGATAAACATTAAATACTGACGATAAAAAAATATAAAATCTTGTCTTTTGAGTCTACATGTTTTCCTTTCATGTGAGTAATACTAAGTACCTGTAGTTAAAAAAGTAGGTCATGCTATAAAAATAACATTTTGGTGCCTCCATCAGTGCTGACAGCACCAACATTGAAAAGTTTATAGAAAAGCATTTTTTCCTGACCATGTGGTGGATTTTTTCCATTCATCGTCTTTTAAAATAAAGTTTAGGTCTTTTATGTTTTAGTTGAGGTTTTACGGCGCTCGCAACTGCATAAGGTCACATGAGCGCCAGAAGATTCGAGGTGTTACAAGAGAGTAACAAACATAAAAAAAGAAGAAGGGGAGATAAGGACGACAGATGTTTGAAAGGAAAGAAGGAGCAACTCACACCAGAGCACCCACCAACCACCCACATTTAGGTCTTTGTTTATAAAAAAAACGCAATAAAAATTTTATCAATGTCACTCACAAAAGATAGGTTTATTTAACTTAACATCAGAGAAATCGAGCCATCAGCATGCTCCACAAGTTTATGCCATTGCCAGAACATTCAACATCAGTTTTTCTGTTGATATAGAATGTACTGGCTATGGCCGAAATGCATGGAGGATGCCAATGGCCGATTTCTCTGAAATAAAAATCAAACCCATCATTTGATGTGGTACCTTTCTTTTGATTGCCTGTATATGTCCAGATACAATTATATAACTGTATGGGTTTAACACCCTTTTCAAAGCTGCTATTTAAGAGGCAGAACCTACAAATTTAACTTTTTAACTTTCATTTCTGAGCAAAGTGAGTGAGGAGTCTTGAAAACTCCCCAAGCAACTCAAGTTCAAAAAAGCCCTGTTAGGGATTTAAACCACGGGCATTCACACCATAGCCCAGCAGGAAACCTAACAAGCTAAAGACAGGCCTGACAGGGAGCACTAGCTTGGTCCGATCATTAACAATATGGAATGATGTCACCTCAAGGGGAACAAAAGAGAGGATGATAGGGCTAAGGGGATGCATAGAACACCGGTACTGTGTTGGTAGCCACAAGTTGCTTATGACACAACAGATAGAAATGAAAATTTATTTTTTTTTAAAGGGAGAATGCAAATTTGATTAAAGTTCTTCAACAGGTCAAAAAAATTTGAGGGGTTCTGATTTTGTCGGAGCACTCGACAGGTCTGCAAAGCTTATCAATGCACAGAACACAAGGCACACTGGCATCAGCACGTGACACAAGACAACAAACATCCGAACCCACTCACTGTGTGACAAACGTGATGGCTTTCCCCGAGCGGCCGGCCCGAGCTGTGCGCCCCACTCGGTGGATGTAGTCCTTGGTGTGGGTTGGGATGTCAAAGTTGATGACCACGTCCACATGAGGGATATCCAGACCTCTGGAGAAGAAAAACACCCCTTTCTAGAACAATTTGATGACACACACCTTTCTAGAACAATCTGTACAGACTACTTGTCCAGGAGTCTGGGGCAAGAAATTTACATTATTCTAGAAGTATCCGGCACATTTCGAAATACAAAATGAAATAAATCTACACTGGAGATTCAAAAGAGTGATCTGATGAGTACAATCTGGCAAAAAATAACATGGACATGGAAAACTTGCAATCACAGACAGTTTGTACAATTTGCCATTCCCCAACAGATATCTCTGTAATGTTTTGTTATATCTGACCTCTTTAACTCACTCACTGCCATGCCCAAACCCTGTCGGGCGATTCGCGTAGACCGCTGCCTGCCAAACCCGATACCCGTCGGGTGCATTTTTACTACTATTTTTCAAACATTCCCCGACAAGTTTCGGGCTTGGCGGTCGGAAGTAGGCGACATAAGCCAGTTTAGTTTCGATTCCGCATTGTTGCAGTAACTTCCCTTGAATAAGTTACTTAAAAATCAGACTTTTTCGAACTCGCCCAAAACGAACCGAAAACTACTAACGCTCAGTTACGATGGCGACAGCGTCTCAACGAAGTCCGACAGCGTCTCAACGAAGTCGTAACAATTGAATTGATCGACCTATTCGTCAATAAAGGGTCAGATTTAGATCTCTTTGCAGATGATAGTGATGATGAACCATCATACAGAGTTGATAATGAGTATAGGAAAGGAAATAGGAGAGGTGCAGACACAAGTGAAGATAAAAATTGTGCTAGATCTAGGCCTAGATCTAGAATCAGGTGTTCCCCATATTCAGACCAATGATTCGATGCTTCCCGGTCCCAGTCCAGGCCTGTCATGCAAACGTCAAAGATCACACAACGTAGATTTAGACCCCAAATTATAGGAATACAGCTGATATAGACCCTCTTAGGTCTACACAACAAACTTCAAATAGCGGTACCCCTCCCCCAGTGGCCATGCCCCGTCCTGCAACCACTCACCCTGATGTTGATGCTCAGGATGGGTAGACTCATGATAATATATATATATAAAATTTGTCAGATATCTTTTCATAGTGACTCTTCAACATTTGTCAGTTGATACAGCATCTATTTCTTGGAGAGACAAAGATATAAAGGCATGCATATCGACTGAATGTACCAAGCACCTAAATGTAAGGTAAAAGGGTTTTTTCTCGATTTTGCCACATATTCACAAACTCATAAAATTTCACAAGGTATATGTATCACCAAAATTTTTTTTTATTTGTTGAGTATGTTTCAATGTCATTGTTTGTGGAAAAGTTCAATGTTGTACACAAAATAATAAGCTCACGGTGAGATTTTGAAAATGGTCCCGAAAGCCTGGCATTCCTCAGTTATCCTGCCGAGAAATGCCTGGCAGTGAGTGAGTTAACATTTTGTTATATCAGTTTACTCGACTGATGGGCGTGTCAAATTCATTTGCCCATTCCTGACGTGTTTGAGTAACATGTGCTCGATTGTACTCGTTGCAGAAATTATTCCCCAGCAATCAACCCTGCAAAGTTCGGCTAAAACTCAGAAATGATTTCCTCACCAAGAGACATGACATTACTACATGTATGAGAAAAGGACTGTACCTGCTGGCAACATCTGTGGCGATCAAGATGGCGCTGTTTTTGCTCTTGAACTTGTTCAAAGCACCAAGACGTTTTTCCTGAGGTTGACACAAAATATGAATTAGAAGGGCCAAAACAAAAGCGTTGACCAAAGGCAAAAACAGACTAAAATCTAAAACATATCTATGTTGTAAAAAGTAGCCAAAAAACAACAACCCAAGGGTAAAAACACATGAACGTCAGCCAGGAGCAGAGAAACTCAAAAAGTGTGCTCATCCAGTGTTGAACAGTTGAGATGTTTAGATTAAGAGGAAAAATCAAGAGACCAGCAAAGACAAACTAAGTGAAATGAAAAAAAACCCAACAAAAAACCCAAACCTCGACTACAAACCGGTTCTCTGAGAGCTAAGGGTTTTCCTGTAGTAAAATTCCGAACTCCTAAAGTACACGAAAAATCTAAACAGACACATGCACACAAATTAAACACCTAACCCAAAGGACGTGCGCCGCTGACACCAGGGCTGCCAACCCATCTCCATGGTTTTTAAAAATGACCATGAATAAAATTAGTAATTTACCATAAAAATTAGTAACAGTGCTCTCATTTTCAAATTACTATACTACAACGAACAAAAATATGTCTTAATTGCGGAAAAATAGGGCTTATCGAAAATTACATAAATGTGAAGGCCAAAGTTTTGCTTCTATGCTTCTACTTGTGTACGGTATTATTGTGGACAAGGCTAACTCGCGCAAAGTGGGCCAGCTGTTCCTTTTTTTTAGGGGGGCAGGGGTTGATTTAGAGATTGGCGGTTTTCCGACTATTGGCTGACGATTTACAGGTCTGCACTAGACTTGTAAAATTTTAAAAAAGAGCAAAAAATCTGTTGACGGTAAAAATCATAATAAATCGCCTTACGATCGGAATTTCGTAGTGAGGCAAAACAAATCGTAATGATTACGAAAAAATCGGGAGCCCCGTGACACCTACAACTTCTAGAACTCAATAAACAAAAACCCAAAAGACAATCTGGCACCATTTACAAAAGAAACAAAGACCGCGGCACACAAATACAATTTTTTAAAACTATGGCCAATAAAATCTCTCACCGTGTACAATGGTCTCTGTTTAAGAAAAAACTGTAAAAATCCAGTCTGCCTCAAATAACTATATTTTTTTGTAAAATGTCATATGTCTGTACTACCGACAGCAGATGTCCACTATGCTACCAGAGATGTTAACTGTCTATGATAAAAATCCTCAAGTTATCCAATCCTATAGAAACGTACACCAGGACTTAAAATTTACAGATCTTGCTGTCTAAAGCATCTTGTATCAAGACGACATTTATATAAAGTGCAATATGACATGCAAAAAGAGGCAAAAATATAAATGACAGTATAAGCAGACATGTATTACAAAATCCACACAATTTTTAAATTCTGGGTTTCCAGATTTATCCAGAAAATCAACACATTTGTATTACACGTTCCCGACTGACCTGTGACATCTGCCCGTGAAGCGGGATGGCGTTGAAGCCCAAGTTGCGCACCATCAGGGCCAGACGCTGTGTGTTGTTGCAAGTGCTGGAGAAAATGATGAAGGAATTCCCCGACAACTCATTCAGGATGTGAACCAGGTATACGTCCTGTGGAAGGATAAGGGGGTCAAGGGTCAAACACAGATTCTCATCATATCATATACAAATTATGAAAGCCGTTTTACAAATTTTTGGTATTAAATGTTTAAACCCTCACCCCTCCACCAATTGACACAATTCATCGTTTCAAAAACAGACTGGTTTCTGTTTAAGGAGTTTTACAACACTTGCAATACAATAAGATCATATAAGGGCCAAATATTAGAGGTGATACAAGAGAATAACAAACAGAAAAAAGGAGCAGAGTTAAGGAAGACAGATGTTTAATAGAAAAGAAGGAGCAAACCACACCACAGCATCCTGCAACCACCCACAGGCTGGTTTCACCGGGGCTGTAAGGGATAAATTCAAGTACAAAGACAAATCCTCCATGAACATGTAAGACCTTCCATAGAGGGGAATACATCTCACTTCTAAGACACATAAAGGGAGGAGTATGCTGGATGAAAGCACAATTCACATTAAAACACGCTGACAGCGTGTAATCAAAGTTTTCCTTCATAATAATCAGCGTTAACAGTAAGTGCAAGTTCCTAATCAGCAACTCAGATTACTAGAGCCATAATTGCTGTGAGAGAGCCGGAAGTAGATCAGATATAAAATAACTTATTTTTGCTTGGAACTGATGGAAGTGAAGCAAACACCACACAAAGTGATTCACATCAGTCTACGACATTCGACAGAATACTTACTCTAGATTACCAGGGCTGCCAACCCATCTCCATGGTTTTTAGTAATGACCATGAAGAAAATTAGTAATTTCCCATAAAAATTAGTAATAGTGCTCTCATTTTCAAATTACTATATTACAACGAACCAAAATATGTCTTAATTATGGAAAAAGAGGGCTTACCGAAAATTAAATAAAAGTGAAGGCCAAAGTTTTGCTTTACAGGTCTGACTAATAAAACTTGTAAAATAAAAAAAAAGAGCCAAAAATTTTTTTTTATAGCCAAAAAATCTGCTGACAGTAAAAATTGCAATAAATCGCCTTACAAACGGAATTTCGTAGTGAGGCTAAAAAATCGTAATGATTACGAAAAAATCGGTATGGTTGGAAGTCCTGGATTACCCCCTTCGAAATTCGCTAAATAGCATGTTTGCATAAGAGCAAACTTTTCTTAACACCAGAGGTACATACTTTTAGCCAAAGACAGCTGCATAAGCAAAGATATTACAATCACTGTGAATAATCATGAGTGCCGTGGCGTCTCTGAACTCACCTTAAACTTGACGGGGATGAAGAGATAGCTCTGCACCAGGTTGTCCACCGTTTTGTACTTGTTGTTGACCTCCACCTTGGTGGGCTCCCGCAGACACGCCCGCTGGAGCTTCTGAACCTACAACAGTAAAAAAGCCAGGCAGGCGTCATTTCAGCAAAAGAGAAATTTAGTTTCAGTTTTTATAGCTTTAGTAAGAGTTTTACAGCATTTGCAAAGAAAATGGGTTATATAAGTGCCAAAGATTAGAGGTGTTACGAACGAGTAACATATAAAGAAAAGAAGGAGGAGGAGAGATAAAGATGAAAGAAAAGAAGGAGCCAACCACATCAGAGCTCACCAACAACCCATGCAAAAGAAAAGAACCATGATATGATTAAAGGCTGTGGTAAAAAGTAAAATGGCCAGTTAGATGATAAATTACAACTTGGGCAAGATACATACAGAGTGCAATCATATGACATCTTTTTACAACTACAACAAGACACATACTGCTATCCTACAGACATGCAAAGTAACACTCATTTGGAGCTACAGCAAGATAAAAGATATACAGTACTGGTCCCGCCATCAAAATACAAAACCTGAGTACACCTGACAGCAAGACAGAGGACTAAGAATGAGGGGAAAAGAAAAGGAAACAGAAGACCAACAAAAGGCCACAACATACCTTCTTGGTCATAGTGGCTGAGAACAAAAATGTCCGTCTATCTTTTGGAATGACCTTCAAGATCTTATCCACCTGAAAAAATTACAAAAAAATAAATAATTAAATAAACATACTAAAATAAGTAAAAAAATCTAAATATAATTTCGGGGTAATTATTTTCTTAATAAAAATGTCTGCATATGACTGAAACCTGTCCTTAGTGAATAAAGGAGGAGATAACTAGTAGAAAAGCATGTGCTATGTAACAGACACCTCCAGGGTAACTATCAAGATTCTCAAATCCCAGAGGAGTGGACATGCTCTCATGACAAAACATATTTAGCCCAACTAATGTTGGAAATTATAAAGTGAGGACAATCACCTAAAAACATCCACCTGATCTTGACCTTAAGCAAAATAGCAATTCAAAGCAATTTTAAAAATAAAACTTAATGATTAATGACAGTCACAGAAAAAAAAGCTTAGATTTAGATCTTAAAGTATAGCAGCCCAACCATCAACAAATCTTACATTAAGTATCAATTTGAAACGTATACATATTTTTCAATCAGGACAAGAACAATTTCGCGAAAAAATTAAAAAATGCAAAAAACCTCTTGTTCAAAGTCCATGTTGAGGATTCTGTCGGCTTCATCCATAACCTAGAGGAAAAAATTCAACAAGTTCACACTGACGTCAAAACAACAACACACTGACTTGTCTCATATGATGGCCATAGCCATTTGCTTAATTAATTGTATTCTTTTAGGTCAAAAACTAATACCCTCATACAATTCTCTGAAAAAATTGTTGAATAAAGGAACTGGGCCTCTATAACAATGAGAATTACTAGTCAGAACAAAGCAGGTACAAATTAACAAACAACCATGATTTGACATAAACCGTATGATCTATAAATCTAGATCTAGAGTAGAACAAGTGAGTCGGACTTGAAATAATCCACATGATCTGAACAATCAGTAAACAAACGAAATTCAAAATGGCCGCTCGAGCACGAAACTGAAAGTAGATAATTTAAATCGTCGTACTTTTTCGTATTCGTATTTCTACGGAGGTTCCGACAATTATGTCGGAAACGCCGACATCGACAGTCGGCATGAAAACGAAAGTGCCGACAAAGCCGACGGGAGAAAAAGGGGGCGCTGGCAGTCGGCCAAGCCTCGCACTACACACATTGACAAATACAGGTGGGCCTAGCGATAGCATCGGCCAGCTCGCGGGTCGGGGCCGCGATTGTCGGAAAACATGCAGGTCTAATAAACCTAGCTGACAATATTAAGATCTTTGTCCAAATCAAGTAAAATTTATCTTCCATAGGAGGCAGCATAGAAATATTATACTTGTTGTTATTATACTCAATTAACTGATACTCAACGATGGGAGTGTTGCTTTGCAGGATGATTTGAATTCAAGACAATATTGAGAGAAAAAAATTTTGATCTGGTTTTTCGAGACCAGCTGTTCCACATATCCGTATGGATGTTTGAAAAAATAATGATGCTAATACAAAGAAAATATTGTGGTTCAATCAGGGAATGGCAAATTGTATGATGAGCTATCCGCCATTTTAAGTTTCCCATGTTCATGTTCTATGTGCCCGACTGTGAAGATAATTTATTTAATCAACAATTTTAGTCTATCCACTGGAATGTTGTCAGCTGTACACCAACACCCCTCAGCATGGGTCAGCTCTGGCACACAAGGTTGAAGCAGCCCACCTCTTAACCCTATCCGTAAGCCCTGGGGTTGTATTCTTCACATTTTAGAATACTTCTAGTACAAAGATCTCTTTGAAACTTTCAGTATTTCAAAAAAAATCCTTTTTTTGACTGACCAGAGCTTCCAGTAGCTGATGTTATTTTTCGAGGATTTTCGGGTCCAGGGGGTTGAAGGGGGACAGCGCCCCCTTTATGTTTGAGAATTTTTGGTTTCAGAGCATCCTAAGTATGCCATTTCTGGCTATTCAGACCTAAATTTAACAGAAAATAAGTGAGAAATAAAACACACTTTGCATAGGTCTACATAATTTTCTGCTTGTGTTAATCCATATGTTTCCAAATCCAAAGCCATGCTTTCTCCCTTGTACAGATACTGTACATCCACAACTAGATCTATAAAACTTGACAGTTAATGTTCAACCTTTTTCCGCTAGTGTTGGTTTGCACCATAATCATCATAAGGTGTAGAATCCTTATAATAATAGTATAACACCTTGACTTGATCTAGATCTAATATCTCTAGATTCAAGATCTAGATCTAAATAACTTGACAGCTTATTCAACTTAAATCTACAACAAAACTTACAAATAAACAAGTCTGGTAAAAAAAATCAAGCTCTCTTTTGAGTTTTCTTTTCTTGGCAGGCCCAAGATCTATTGAATCACAATCGTCATTTCTTCCTCTTGTTTACAGAGCTGGTGCTGTGCTTCTTGTGCTTTTGAAAGTGAAAGTAGAAGACACTGTCTACACTTTCAAATAAAAGAGCACTTCCGGTATGGGTTGGTTATTGTTGAATATTGGTAATAACATAAATTTTTTATTTCGCATTTTAAAAAAAAAATTTTTTGCACGAATTTTCACGGAAATTTTTCAATTTGCGGAATTCTGCTACTTTGCGGAAATCCGCAAAATTGCGGAAGACTGGAAGCCCTGACTAACTGCTATGCAAAGCATACGGATCAGATTAACGAGTAAATTACCTCTTTGAAAGTGAGTTCTCCAAGTTGTATGGATACTATAGTAAAACAAAATGTACGGATAGGGTTAAATTATCTAAAGGGTGTCACTGGAGACGAAATTCTCTTACAATTGATCAAAGTGAGCTAATACTCCAGGACCCACAGATTGACCTCGGCAAAGGTTTAAAACAAACAAAAAAATTCTTTTTTTAAAAGTTGACCTTATTTTCTCCAGTTACATTGTTAAAGCATAACACCATCATTATGGTGCTTTGCTCTCTGAGCACCTCACAGACAGACCTCACCCATGACTTACCAGGAACTTCAAAGACCTGAGGCCAAAACCTTTGGTGTTCTCCAGGTGGTCCACAAGTCTGCCCGGCGTGGCTGAGGAGAAAACAGACATGTTCTTAATGCATTATTCCACATACGTTAACAAGGCACAATATTCCATGTCACAATATATGACCCCTGTCCTGTCAGTGAATCACACATCACAACAAACCACCCCTGGCCCCTCCTCACATTTCTTGTAAATACCCAGGTATCATCCCTTTTAACCACAGAGGAAAAGTCTCCATGAAACACACACATACCAAACACCCCCCCCCAAAAAAAACAAACAACAACCAACAACAACAAAATCAAACAAACCCCTATGCAATAGCTAAACAGACCTTCATGACCATTTCTCTCTTGATCAGTATGATATGGGAAAGAGAGACAAAAAAGTCCTAGCATACTGCAAATAATATCTCCTCTTCCAACACCATATTCCCCAGAACTCAGAGACTCACCTATTAAAATATGTGGTTTCTTCGCCAACATCAGCGCCTGGTCGTACATATCAATGCCACCAACAATCACAGCTGGAAGAAAAAACAATAAAAAAGCATGAACAAAAACTATCACACAAAAAAAAAAGCCCCCATTGCTACAGAAACTGAAATTATGATATCACATTTTTTTCACCCACAGAAAACTGTTACTGAAAAAAAAAAACACAATATGAAATGTCTCAAACTATGGACATGCTCAAAATAGTAAAAAGGAAAACTTCTAATCTACATACCACCTCTTTTAGTCTGTTGTGCTACAGAAACAAATGGATTTACATCGTAAGAGTGTCAACCAATCTCACAATTAAAAAAACAAAACAACCCCTAATAAACAACAGATAAAATGAACATCTTTTTTTAAAGTCTTTAGTCTCTGTATTACTATTCTGTACAGACTCAAAGTATTGAAGACACAATGAACAAACTATTTCCTCACTAACTCAGATTAAAATCCCCATTTGACAAAGCCCACATGAGTTCTCTGAAAGAGATACAATATGTTACTTCCCAACAATACGCAAAAGTTAAGTATTAAAAAATCAATACATCCTTCACTAACACAGAAGTGTATTAATTCTGATGACCCAAGATAAATAAGGGCTATTTTGTGAAGTTGACAAAGATGTATATCATTCTGTACTTAACATACCCAAATAGTAAAATAAAAGACATTAACTCTAACCAGCCAGGAGTGCAAACGGTATCACTCATGCAGTCCTTAACAATGAATGTAAACATTTTTTCCTGGATCAAAATCACAAAGCTGAAGTTCAGAACTTACCACATTTGATCCCTATGGAAGAGCCAAGGGCAGTGAACTGCTCTGAGATCTGGTAGGCGAGTTCTCTGGTGGGAGTCAGGACCAATGCAAACAATCTCTGTGGCTTCTCCAGCAATGCTTGCAGGATGGGGAGGGCAAAAGCACCTGTCTTTCCAGAGCCTGTCTCCGCCAGCCCGATCACATCTTTGCCTGCAACAGAGGGTTCCATACCACTGTACAAACACAATAATGCACTTTGATTTCACCCTGTTATTATCATAACCAGACAAGGCCTAAGCTCCAATGATTTACAAACTTTAAAAGTGTATACAGAAACGTTAAAGAAAGGGTGTATAGTCATTTCACAAGAGGAAATCTGTGACATTACAAACAACTCATTGTGATGGAAGAGAGGATGTTTACGGATTGTTTTTGCTATGTATGTGTTTTCAGTCAAAGAACAAAATTCATGACCTGAAAAGTGAAACTTCAGAAAAACAATTATCTATTTGTGGTGGCCGAATTTTGCTATTCAAAAGGAATTTTAATGGTTGCATCAATCGACATGCGGTTTTCGCCAAAAGATTCTTTAAAATATTCTCCAGATCATGACGCCCTTTATTTTTTTTCAATCTTGAGACAGTTTTATGCAAAAAGATAAATTTCTCTATTTCACCGATAGCTTTTGTAGGCCGACGCTTCTGTCTGAAATTTTAGAAAATCCCCCAGGTTTGTTTATTTCAAGTCGTACTTCCGTTCGTTACTATCGCGCATTGTCGCACAATACTGAGCACTATTTCAAGTGTACGACCCGTATAGATTGAGCCTCATGTTTTCTTTTTTTTTACTTGGTGCTAAATTCGACGGTGATCCTTTCGTTTGATGCCCACCGTAGCTTTTTCTGGACTCCTTTGTCAAATTCTTTTTCTTGCTACTGGGAACAATCAACATGCTTCTGTACAACCACGAAAGCGGAATTGAGAATCAATCTATGCATCTATTATATATTTGGCAACTTGGAAACACATGTGTCACTTTTCTCTCAAGATTTATTGCTACATTCCAGTAGAGTGTAAATATAGTAGACCAATGATATTCAGTTGATGTTAATACCCCAATCATTCCTTTCATCGAAAGGGGGCCCAGCTAGTTACCATCTAAAGTAGAAAGCAAAACCCAGCTAGAATTGTACCTAGAAAGTAGATAAAAATTATCTTCCTATTTAAAGTTTACCTTTTTCTCAGTTGTAAGCCCTCCACCAACTCAACAAAGTGAGTTACTTCTTTGAATACAATATATACCATCCAAACAAAAACAAAACAAGACTGTATAACAAACCTTACCTTCTAAAGCCAGAGGTATGGCTTCTTTCTGAATTTTTGATGGCGTTTTCCATTTCAGTCTTTCGCAAGCTTCAGCAAGAACATCTACTACACCCTGATAGACACAAAATTAAAAGCATGTACAGTCAAGCATGGATATCTCAAACAAATCGGGACTGGCAAATTTATTTTACATATCGAGCGAACTGAAATAATGGAGGAAAAAAGAGAAATAATGAAGAAAACCAACTATGACAGCATATAATGGTCGGAAGATGAAACACTGCCATCATGAAAAGTACCCGATATCGCTAAAAAAGGATAGAAAAATGGATATTGAATGCGCCTTGTTCAGTGTCGAAGCAAGACAAAGAATGAAGCTGATGACCCTTAGATTCACATCTGATCTTGAAAAAAAAAATACTCTTACGCTAGATCAATCATGACAATATAACCAACATTGGTCAGAGAATGCCAACCACCTCTCTTATATAATCACTTCCCGATCTAAACCTTCACATTCAAACATAATTCACACACCATATGGTCCAATGCAGCGCTACACTGTCTGTCTTTGATTACACCCCACTATCCACCCTCACATGACTTGATTGAAGGAAGCCTTACAACTTACACACTCTACACTACACTAGTCACTACAGGTAATGTGCGATCAAGCATCTCAGTATCAGCAGTGTGTCTTGTTCCGTGTTGAAGCAAAAAACAAAAAAAAAGGAAAAGTGTGGTGCGGATGAGTCTAACAAATAATAATATTTTAACACTGTTCTAACTTCTGGTCACAACTATGAGGATGAAACCAACACTGGTCATAGCATGCTATCCACCCATTTTGTGTAATCAATCTCCAATCCACATAACCTACATTCACATTCAAACAAGCATAAACACACAAATACAAACATTCCCACATAATATAGCCCAATGCAATGCTACACAGTCTATATTCTGTTTTAGTATTAGTAGAGGTTTTACGGCGCTCGCAACTGCATAAGGTCATATGAGCGCCAGAAGATTAGAGGTGTTACAAGAAAGTAACAAACATAAAAAAGAAGAGGGGAGATAAGGATGATAGATGTTTCATAGATAGGAAAGAAGAAACAAACCACACCAGAAAACCCGCCAACCACCCACACCTCTATCTTCGATCACACATTACCACCCAACCCCCACCCTAACATGACTAGATTGAAAGAAGGTGTAGTGTAATGCTTAAAAAAACACTACACTACAGGTAATGTACAATGATGTGTCTTACTACAAGCAGCACTGTGTGTGTGTGCAACATGCAGTGTGAGGGTGAGCCTAGTGGGCTCATGTAACCTGATGCTCTTGATGATAATGGGTGTATTGCTTTGTTTCATGCCCACAGGGTGATTTTGATTTAAAGACAACTGTGAGGAAAAATTTAATTTGGTTTTTCCAAGACGAGAGCTGTTTGACATATTTGTATATGGGTGTTTGAGAGAACAGTGTTGCCAACACAAACATCGAGAAATAGCAAATTGTAGATATCTGAGATATCAAGTTGTCCGTTCATTTTATGTGTGCCTGACTGTATTCATACTGAACAGTCAGAGCTAAAAATTAAATATAGGCCTAATATTACAAATATTGAACACATTAAAACCGCAGAGATCTGTAAACCTTATACTTGGAGAATGCAAGTTCTTTCAGACCCAGAGGCAAATGGACCATAATGATAATGACAAAAATAAAAGCCAATTATACAGGGCCCAACAGAAAAAAAATTTGATCTGACAGGCCCCCTGCTTTTCCCTACAATTCGATGGTCTGCAATTGGTTTTTTTTTAATTTTCTGGAAAAAAAACTAAAATGCGGCAAATTTACGAGTGGCCATATGTGATCTGCAGCAAATAATACAGCCATTTGACTCCCAAAATCAGTGCAGCTGTGTGGGGGAGTGAAAGAAAAAATGTAGCTAATTATGATATGTCCTTGCCAAATTGATCTGCAAGAGTGGTAAATTATTACTAAAAACCACCGAACCTACGAAAGACGGCTACCCATTATCAAGGGGTAAAGTGGCTGTTTAAGTTCAAGACAGGTGGCCAGGACTGATAAAAATGAACAGAACAAACAATCCCTTCTTAGAGGTCCAAACTGGAAGTGACTCAGGTTTATAACTGTAAGGCTAACTAGAATGTGTTTTTGTTTGGTCTTTTTTGGTGGGAGGGTTTTTTTTTGTTGTTGTTGGTTTTTGGGGTTGTTTTCTTTATTTGTAGTGGATAACTTTTTTATGCAGCTGATTTTGTGCAAGAGAGTAAAATAAAACAAAATGTGTCAGACGAAGAAAGGGGGGCTCTCATGGTCTAAAGTTTATTATGGTGGTTGCCTCTCATTCAATAGGTCCAGAGTTCAAATCTGGACAGTGAGGAGAAATTTTCTTCTAAAAATTTTTCTCTTTTCACTGAGTCACTCCCTTTCTTGCTCTCTGGAGTCTATCCATATTATTCTTCTGTCGTCTGCTTTCGTCTCCACTTTCTGCCCCCTCCTCTGAGCTTCTTACCCTTTCTTTTTGCAGTCTCTCTGCTGCTATTCCTCGGCTCCTTCTCACTGCTGTCTTTCATCCACACCCCTGATCTTATGGTATGATCAAACACCTAGCCTTCTCGGATAACAGAGAAAAATCTTGGAGGTCCTGAGCGCAAGTTAAAGATCCCTTGGTGGTCCTAAAACCGATAAAGAGTGCGCTGAAACTTTCTGAAATCACGAAAGAGTTACCATACCGGGTCTGTATACTTTGTGACTTTATTCCCGGTTACCGGGTCTGTATACACTCCCTTCTTTGTTTTTACACAAACGTACTTAAGTACGGCTAGACTGCCAGTCTAGCCGTACTTAGATCTAGATTTGGCCCTATCAACTCAAGCCTGTTAAGTACAAAGGTCTCATTAGATCTAGCAATTATTCAGGTTCAAATACATGCAAGTCAGTAAGGCACCTTTTGGCTTTGTCTGAAATACAAATACTTTAGGCATTGCAAACTAAAAATTTCATTTAAAATTCAGCCATCAATATTAAGTACGGCTAGCCTGACAGTCTAGCCGTCCTTAAGTACGGCTAGCCTGGCTGTCTACCCGTACTTAAGTACGGCTAGACAAGAAGTCTAGCCGTACTTAAGTACAGTTAGACTGCCAGTCTAGCCGTACTTATCTTTGGCCCTATTAACATTAGAAAACAGGAGGTTTAAAATACATGCACTGTCATTAAGGCACCTGGTTTCGTCTCAAATACAAATACTTTAGGTACTGCACACTAAAAATGTATATTTACAATTCAGTAGGCCTATTTTTTTTAAATGGTCAGTCTAGCCACCATATTTAGAATAAGAACGGCTAGACTGCCAGTCTAGCCGTCATTAAGTACGGCTAGCCTCTTCCATACACAAAACCATGAGTGGAAATTTTTGAAGTCAAAACAGAATTATAGGGAAAAAAATTGTTGGTCAGTCGGGGGAGGAGAAAGAAAAAAAAAAAAAAAGAACTTCCGGGACCGGGATTCGAACCCACACTCAAAATATAATACATCTTCTAACGCAGACAAGCTGTCATTTCGACCATCAGAACTATCAACAGAAGGAGGAAGATTTAAGCTTAAATATTTTTACAGCACGATTTCAATGCAACATACATTTCTGAATCTATCTATCTGGAGTCTAGATTTAGATCTAGATTCTAGATCAATAATATCTAGATCTAGAATCTAGTTGGGTTTTTTTTACATGAGGCATGAGGCGGCTGGCATCAGATCAGCAGATGAGGTCTGACGAAAAATTTTTAAATTTCAGCTGGTGGAATATTGGAAACACTGATCTAGATCTAGATTTAGAATCTCTAGATCTAGATCTTTAGATCTACTAAGACAGAACATGTAGGTAGTAGGCCTGCGGGCATACAGGCCTACTATGGTACGGATACCTGCAGCACTTTGTACAATTGTGCGTACAACGTTGTACGGATAACTAGGACTAGATCTAGACAGAGTTGTTCGCACAATTGAACGGTACAATATTGTACGGATACCTAGATCTAGATCTAGATCTAGACAGAGTTGTTCGCACAATTGTACAGTACAATATTGTACGGATAACAAGACAGAGTTGTTCGCACAATTGTACAGATAACCCCTCCGTGGGAGGACTTCCGTAACGAGCGACCACTATGAGACAGAGCAGAATTGAGGGCTAGGGGTAGGGCCCAGTAGGGGTAGGGCCCAGTAGGGGTAGGGTCGGTTAGGGGTAGGGGTAGGGGTAGGGTTTGGGGTAGGGTTAGGGTTAGGGTTAGGCCTCTTCTTTATTGTGTTTGATGGGGTGGTCGCTCGTTACGGAAGTCCTTCCCACTCCATTTATGAATGAGGGTAAATTTTTACTTTCACTCCCGCACACAGATGCACTGTTTCAGGGGTCAAACTGCTGTACTGTTTGCTGCAGATCACACATAAAGCCACTAAAACTGTTGCAAATCAATTATTTTCAAGACAATTTCAAATCTAACTGTAAAATATCAAATTATGGGCGTAAAAACAGGGGGGCATCCCCCCTGTAACCCCCCATATTTTCTTTTACCCCAGTGGGGCAGGCCCCCCTGGAACCCCCCGATTGGTCCAAAGCATGTCTATCTCGGTTAAAAACAATCAAATATTTCAAAAAACATTAATTTGCGAAATCAAAATAAAACGCGTTTAACGTGGCTGTCAAAAGCGAAGAAAGTGATAATTTAAAGCTTTTGACAGCCACGTTAAACGCGTTTTATTTTGATTTGACACGATAGGCTAAGCAATGGACTTACCAATTCTTTAAAAGACACATCAGTTTCCTCCTCTGCCATTGTGAAATACTGTCTAAACTAGACAAAAATCACTTTCAACGGGACTCTAAGCTAGAAAATATCTTCTCCGACAGAAATTGATCACGCTGTCTGGTCACTCAGTCTTCGGGATTACACACACAACTTTCGCTTCCCCGTGAGGAATGTTAAACTTCTTTGTTGAAGAGTAAGCTATGCGGTGTTGGCCTCTCTTTGTGTCTTACTGACAGAATTCTGTTTTCTTACTAGAATCTAGAATTAAAACTCCTGTTCCTGAAACTTTGAAAAAAATAATATAATAATTTTCAGAATCTAGCCTATCATACTTAATCTGGTTTTATTTGTAAAATTCAAAACGTTGAAACAGAAAGTTACAGTAGAAATCGTACTGCTTAAAATAGATCAAGTCAAAGAATTAGCAAAATAAAAATGGACGACAAATATTTTAGAGTACCGTTGATATTACAAAAATCCATACTATATTTAGAAAACAAATATTAGTGTTTTGACATAAATTTCTTAAAATAATATCTTTTTCTCCATATATATTATGTTAAAAGTTTATTTTGAAATTACCTTATGTGATTTAATATTATAAATTATTTTGAAGGCTTTTTTTTTAACCTTTCAAATATTTTATATAATATATAGAATCGAGAATTCGGCAGACAACGATAAGTTTTTAAGTCAGTAAAACAAAATGGCGAAACATCATCCTGATCTTATTTTCTGTCGAAAACAACCCGGTGTCGGTAGGTTATCTTGTTTTATTAGATAGATCTAGATCTATATTATGATTTTTTTAAAGGGAGTTGGGTGGGGGTGGTGGGAGAAATTCGTTTTCAGTGCAGTGATTATACTGGCAAATGCGGGCATAATATTTTTCACGCTTTCACTGTCACTGGTCACTGTCGTCATTCAAAATTTTCAAAAATAAACGCAGTGGCTATGTTTACGGCGCCGTGAACGTAGAGTAATCGTACCGGGTCGGGCAGCACGTTTTTTTCTAGCTGTCGGGCACTGGAGTACAAAAAGATTGTTACAAACTTTGTTTTTAAATCTAGATCTAGATCTATATCTAGATCTAGATCTAATCTAGATCTAGCCCCAAAAGAGTGGCTAGCAATGCCAATGAAAATTTAACTCTTATCCTGCGTCTGTGCCCAGATGCGTATCTTTTCAGCAAC